TCTCTCTCTCTCTCTCTTGCATACACATGCACATAACTCTCTCATAACTCTCTCTTTCCCCCCCGCCCCAAATGTGTTTGAAACACATAACTGCCAGTTTGCCATTCTGCTGCCAGTCAAAAGGGACGAAAAGGCGTCAATCACAAGGGGTAAAAAAGACTCCACATTCACCTAACAGTGAGTTGAAGAGGGGTCCAAATGATGGCGGCACGGCACAACAATCAGCCATCATCATGTACTGAGGAGGTTGAACCTCCTATCATGAACCCCGTTGGAGTTGGAGTCGACCCTGTTTTGAACTGAGCTGCGTTGCACAGTAATCCTTCTCCTGAGGTCAACCCCGGTCTCAAGTCGGGCTTGCACCCGGTCAACCCTGTTTTCTAGTCAACCCTGTTTTCTAGGAGTGTCATATATTACAGACTGCTGCAGGTTGTTTCTTATCAACCTGCCCTGTTTTATTTAAGGACGTGCGAGTAAAGTTCACCAGGTTTATCAGGGCGGCGTTGTTAGTCCTTATCCATCGCTCATATGCATCCTGGGCAGACTTTCGGGGTCAACATCCCGATGAGTCGGTGAAAGTCCGACAAAACAGTCTGGCACAGCCATGCTCTTTTTGTGCAGTCGTGTGTAGCGAACATGACAACCCCAACCTTCCCCTACACAAGCACAGGCCCTCACCCCGTCACATGGTGTGTGTGTGTGTGTGTGTGTGTGTGTGTGTGTGTGTGTGTGTGAGAGAGAGAGAGAGAGAGAGAGAGAGAGAGAGAGAGAGACCCTGTTACATGGTGTGTGTGTGCAGACTTGTGTGGTAAAGTGGGGCCTGTGTGTATGTGCATGCATGTTTTTGTGTGCGTGTGTCTGTGCATGTGCATGTGTGCAAGAGAGAGGAAGAGAGAGTTATGCGCATGCGTATGCAAGAGAGAGAGAGAGAGAGAGAGAGAGAGAGAGAGAGAGAGAGAGAGAGAGAGAGAGTCTGTGGATGTGCATGTGCGCAAGAGAGAGAAAGAGAGAGTTATGTGCATGTGTATGCAAGAGAGAGAGAGAGAGAGAGAGAGAGAGAGAGAGAGAGAGAGAGAGAGAGAGAGAGAGAGAGAGAGAGAGAGAGAGAGAGAGAG